AACGAGTCTACTAAATGTTAGCTTAATGCCGTCTGTCACCAATTGACTTGCTCAGGTTGCACCTCTTCCATCTCTCGGTGCCTGTTTTGCTATTTTTTTTATTCTAACGGTGAAGTTAAAGCTACTGATGTTTTGGTACTCTAGGTAGGGAATCGCGACGCTGATGGGGCATGTCCTTTTTATAAAACTAAACTTAGCTGCCCAATTAAAGCGGTCACATCTCTAAATTGGGTCTCTGATACCGTCTTAGGGCAATCGGGAGGAGTCTTCCTGCTCTACTGCAAGTTAATTGGTGAAAAAGATGACTTGCGTCATAGCAAGGACGTATGCTATCAAAGGAAATAAAGTAGGGTAGGATGCGTCCTTAAGCTACTCTTAAAAGTAATTTGGTGGTCTTAACGCTTCAAGAACTTGCTGCCTCTCTTAGAGTGGTGGCGGTGGGAACGGCCCTTCCGCATCAGCACGGGTCTACGACGAGATGGAGGCAGAGAAGCGTGTGCGTAAGCGTCGAATGAGGCTCCTTCTAGCCGTGGAGGATGCCTTCGCTCATGCCGCTCGCATGGGCAGGGAGACGACAGCCATTGATGCATCTGGAGCACTCAATCGCAGCTCGGTTGTCGGAACCGGTGGTGGACCCAGTGGTTTCACAGCCTTCCAAAACGGTTTGTTGTTCCTGTCCGATGGGCATGAATTAGAAATTTCATTGACTTTGTGTTTTTCTTTGGCACGACTCCTGTCAAATACATTGTATTTCCAACTAATCCAGTTCGAGGTGCGTAACTACACTCTGTTGTGAATATAAAGTAGCCAGAACAATTTTTTACTCTTAGTGCTTTCATTTGAGATCCATGAGATCTTAAATTGTTAGATATTTATTTTCGAATTAGATGGTCTACGCAACGGTCAGATTGCACACCTCATGAGTAAGGGCTCTGCGCAATAAATATTCAAGCAGTTCTTTTGAGTTTTTCAGATTTTTGCATTTGAAAAGTCGTGATGCACAACGTTCATGCCCAAACCTCATTTGGGTGTATGAAACACGGGTTCACTTTGTAGGCCAGCTTGATGTTAGTTTAGCTTCATGCACTATTCTATGTGTATAGCCTTATTCGGCAGACCTTTGTTTCCTCCTACCCAGACAAAGCACTAAATATGCATTCGTGCAGAGCCACCACGCTGTTACCCATCTAGTAAACCATGTTGCATAGTTTTGAGG